ACTCACCACCCAGGACCAAGCACCCGAACCTGGGGCGGACAGAGCCTTCTTCTGTAGCTGCCCCCTTCCCCTCTGGAACCTCTCTTCCCCCCAAAACACATCTGTGACTGTACCGACCTTCCAACATTCAAATCAAATGGACAAAGAACTAAAATCACCATTTTTAAAATTTCTTTTTAATGTTTAGCTTAGTCTGATGTGTTTTGGTGTTTTAAACCTAATTTGATGTTGTTTTGCTGCTTTTAATGTTTCCTTTTATTTTAATTATATTTTATTATTATTATTAATTATTATTATTAAACCTCTGTCACAATTTGATCACCCAGTATAGATAGATAGGATAGATAGATAGATCTATGTTTTCAAAAACTTCAATTTTGTTATGTTTCCTTGGGAAATGGTTTGGAACCCCATTTCCCAAGGATTAAACCCAAGTGTGAATCTTCTATTCAATACACCCTCCCAGTTTAGCTCCCATTTATCCAATGTTAAAAGTGCAGCTGATCAGGCGTACCCACTGTTGTCTGTGTGTGTGTGTGTTGTGTTGTGCGTGCAGAGGCCGGTGGCCATGCAGGTGTCTGAGGCAGATGCAGGGAGCCCAGCTTCCCCTGCCCTCAGGTACATGTTGTCCCTGGTGACAGCCGTCGCCAGCTCTTCCTGTCCCAGTTTGCAGTGGATACAGCGCTGTGTTCTGGAACGGAGACAAGGAAGAGGACAGGTTTGTGAGGACAGCAGCACACTCCTCGTCAGAGAGGCTGTGTGACTGACTGGAGATGCTGATGGGGACGTCTGAGTGTAAGTCAGTGTACTGGTGATAAATAGCTACCGTAAATTTAAAAAAGAAAGTCACTTGTCAGGTTTACCTAACAAGCAACCATATCTTTTAAAAGCAACTTAAAAAAAAAAAAGAAGAAACCCAAAGTTGTTATAGGGGGACTTGGCAACAGCACAGTGACTCGTCATAGCGTTCACCCTCAGCCCAGCCTCTCGCTCCAGATCATTAACTAGTAAGGAGAACGACTTCACTGACCTTCTCTGAGCGGCTCCCAGGTGTCTGATGTAATGGCTCTATTGTTTTCTGTGCAGCAGCAGGGTTCCAGGTCAATCTCCTTACAATAAAAGCAGCTTTCATCCCCTCATACAGGTGGTGTTAATGACTGCTGCTGACTCCTGTAGACTCCTTCCTGCCGTTAACTCCTTCACTGTGTCAAGGCCCCGTTACCTCCCCTCCCCCGACTCTCCCACTGCCCTTTACTAGACCTCAGGACCTGGGTGGGAACTGGGCATGGGAAGCAAGTCACTTATTTAAACAATGTCCAAAGTAACGCAGATAAGTCATCTTCTCTTAGTTCTGGCTTTCCACCCACACTAAGCTGGTGTACCACACTCCTTACCAAATGAGGGCGCACATGCTCCATTTACCTGTCTGCAAACAGCAAAGAGTAAACTGAAAGAGGGTAAGAAGAAGAGAGAAAACTACGTGTCAGTGTAAGATGCTGACGTTCGTGGCCTTTTGTAGAGTCATTATGTTAATACCACTCACTTTGCCTATTTGCTGATAACATATATAAGTTGATTGAATAAGACACATAAATACTTAAAATGAAATAAATAAAATAAATGTAAGAAATGCAAGAAAAGAATATTCAATTGCAATATCTTAAGCTCCTCTGTCCTTTCTCTTTGAAAGCTCATTTAAATCATTTATTCAACCATCTTGGACCAGTGGTGTCTCAGGAACATCATGTTTGATGGATGAATGGACAGGAAAATATGAAATTTGCAGTATAAAATTAGAGAATTGTGAAAATATACTGTATATGTGCAGACATAATCCAGCGGTGCAGTCAAATTGAGTGTAGATAGATAGTTCTAGTGTATATTATTTTAATCTAAATATATGTATAAGCAATAGTAAATACAGTCAAATAAGAATGTATTGGAAATCTAATGGCTTTTTTCTAGTTTTATGCTGCAGATTTAATATTTTCCTGTCCTTCCAACAATCAAACAAGATGTTCATGAGACACCACTGGTCCAAAGTGGATAAAAACCTCAGAATAAATGATTACTTCTTATGAAATGTTAACCTTTGAGGAGAAAGGACAGGGGACCTCATTAACTATGAGTCCATTAGGGAAGACACGACAAATGGTCAGACAACCAAATCCCTAAATTAACCTAATTATCTAACCCACTTCTCCAGAAGTGAAGCCAAAGTAAACACATCTAACACGGCATCTACAGGCATTGTACTGTTTAACATACAAATATTTTCATTGTTGATTAATCTTTCGATAATTTTTTCAGTTCAGTTGTTTGTCAAAAAATGTTGAACAGTCCATGGTGAAGTCCTCAGTCAAGAGAAAAACAAAAAAAACAGCAGGAACACAAATGTTAAAGCTGCAAACTTTTATAAAAATAACTTTTTGTCATATTTTCTGAAACTTTCCCTATATCCTGACAGTAGAACATGAAACAGATAATCTGTGAAACAATCATCATAAACTGGTCTGAAGCCATGTGTCATGTGAAGCTGTGTTTAGCAGAGCTTTTCCATCTCCACATCTCAGCAATACTGATTAGTAAAATGTTATCACAACCTGGTCAAATACATGACAAAACTGCAAGAGTAAGACCATGCTGGTAACAAAAAAAAAAAAGATATTTCCTTTAAATTTATTGTGTGTCATGTGACTGTACGATTTTCCAGGATTTTATCCAAAGCAGCCTAAATCAGTGTGTGTGTGTGTGTGTGTGTGTGTGTGTGTGTTGTGCAGGAACTACAGTGTGGTGAATGTGGAGAAGGGCCAGGTGGAGGTGAAGAGGATGTCCTGTCCTGGCAGTAAGATCAGCTGTCAGATGAAGATGGGTAACACCCTATGGATGGCCACTGAGGTACACACCACCTGATATTCATACAAATAAATGTCTTCCCTACTCGGTTCTAGAGTGTATGTATTATGTAAGATAACTTGGCTGTGCGCCGGGTGTTTGGCGACTCTCTTTTCCAAGTTGGGATAAGTCAGGATAACCACCATAGCAGAAGGGAAATTGATAGAAATATGCTGGAAACAAACTGAATTAGAATTGTTATATTTGTCTATAATAAGGCAATCAGTTGTTCAGTGAACTGTCAAAAAGCCAGCACAGTGTGGGTTTTTTCTGTCCTTAAACAGCTGGCAGCCGACATTAGCACAGTGTTCAGGGAAGTGAAAATCATGTTCTAAGGGAACTGGAGCATTGAGCGCTCCTGAACGCTACCTGTTGGTTAAGTAATCTGATATTTACAGAACTTCTTTTTTTCTTTTGACATTTCTTATGACAATATTTTTATGAAAAAGCTTTGAGGGAGGATAGTGTGTGTCAAACCAGTGTTTGAGATAGTGTGATAGTCTTTGGTACAAATCAAATCATGCACTGGCTACGCTCATTGTTAGCATAGACTTAAGATATTATTTTTCAACAGAGTCAGGCTAGCTGTCTCTTGACGTCCTTCGAGGACGTTTAATATTGTTGTGAATGGGATTACTCCCTGAATGTTGTGCCCTCTGCATACTTACACAGAGTGTGTTCACAATATGTTGTGTGTGTTTGTGTGACAGGAGCAGGAGGTGTTCATCTACAGCCTAAAGGACATGTGTCCACTCAGTCAACCCCAGAAACAGTTCTCCTGTCCAGCCATCATCACCTGCCTGTTCCCTGTTCCAGCAAGAGAGCAGGTCAGATCTCTACACACACAAAAGATGTTGAACACGTGTTTGTGCTTGTGTCTGTCAAAATATCTATCAAAATATCAAGTTTTTTTTGCCACTTAATTTATCACTTAATTATCATCTCTGCAGAAAAAAATAAATCAGGTCATTAAACCAAGAAACAGTAGGAGCTGTTTTTCATGTCAGATCAATTCATAAAAAAAGATGTTTTCCCCTCAAGCACCTTGTTAACAGCCTGTGGAAGAACTCTGAACACTCTACTTCCTTCAGATAATAACTTTACAGCTTGCTGCTGTTTTCCAGTAGTGTCACAACAGATGACACATATCAGTGAGCACCATGACTCTTTCTGTAATGATCCTGTCTGAGTGACAAAAAGACATCTCTCTAACGGATAAAGCCAACAATGCTGCGTTTTCCATGTCTGAAATGGCTTTAGATTGAGAGGAATTTGACATGAAAATGTCTCCAGTCTCTGTTGAATTCCTTGCCATGACATTAGTCTTCATGAAAGTGAAGACATGGAGACACTGACAGGTGGGATGTCCACAGTTTAAGTACAGCCAGTAAGTGCTGCTTCTCACAATTGCCCTAAAACATCTTACTGCCAGCAGCATGAGTGTGTGTCAGGCTCCAAACAATGCTACTGTGGGAAAAGTTGCTTTATGGTCTGTCCTACTCCTCCTCTACAGCCTGTAGTGACTGCTAGCACTGAGGGCAATGAAATGTGATCATCTGTTATGTGTGTGAATCTGTGATTGTTTGATATTATAGAGCTGTAAATCATTTTATAAGCAGTTCGGTCTAGACCTTCTCTACATGAAAAGTGTCCTAAGATAACTTCTGTTATGAATTGGTGCTATATAAATAAAATAAAATTTAATTGTCCCATTTAATGAGCCGACTGGTAAGAAAAACTGTTCATATCATAATGTAATCTTCAGACTGATAGGGTTTAGTGATTTTGTACATTACAATGTAATGGAATTTTAAAGTACAGGAAATAGTTTAAAAAGGTAGGAAACAGATGGAGGACTGAGGAGTGAACGGGTCTCTGAAGCATTCAGACGATGGGACAAAAAAGTTTCATTGCAAGAGAGTGTGAGCTGATTATTAAAATGTAAATGTTATTTTAGAGAGCCAAAAGGCGCCTGAAAACAACCTATTAAACATTTTTCATTAGTGCCTTTAGGCCAGACTCTGGGCTTCAAGTAATTACAAGACTATATAAGGGACTTCAGGGGGTTACAATAGCAAATAACACCAACATAAAGTAATAAAGAATATTTTACTTTCAAAATCTTTTAATATAAAAACAAAATAAATATTTGGAATACTAAGTGGAGCTGCTAGATAAGCAATTGGAGAAAGAAAACCTTGTAATGGAAAGAATTACCTTCTCCACGAAGCTTCAGTAAAATGAATTTGAGGGAATTTGGGAGAAGGGAAAAATGTATATTCTTTCTTTCTATTTCTTTTCTTCTTTTGGTTACATTTATTTATGTAATAAGTTTTCTTTTCGTTTTTTATTTTTCTCCAATGAAAACCAACCCATGCTCTGGGTGTGTGCTCTATAATTACACTGTAAAAAGCTGAAATGATGGATCACTCTGTAAAGGTAAACTAAAGAAGACGGTGTAAAGTGCTGTTACTATGTGATTCCAAATAAAGGTAAAAAAATTATGTAAAAGTTGCCTCTTCCTCACCTGTTTAGAGCCTGGCCAGAGTGTTTGCGGGGATGTCGGACGGCCTGCTGGCAGCGTACAGCTTGGTGGATGACCTTCCTCTGGAGGGGGAGACCTATCTGTGCTCGCACACCCTTAATAAGACGGTGTTTGGTCTGAAGGACTCGGATCCCAGGCAGAGACCCTACCCAGTCAGGAGCATGGCTTTGGTCGGCAGTGGCTCCCAGGTGAGCAGAAAACCAGTCAGAAATGTACCAACCATAAAGTCGTGTTTGATAAGATATAGAGAGTTAACTCTTCCTCCCATCTTTGTCCCATCAGTTATGGTTCTCCAACGGTCCGGGCGTGCTGGTCATCGACTGCCTGACTCTTCAGGCGGTCCGAAGGCTGGAGCCCTACAACCCGCCGTCCTCCATCGTTGCCATGACAACCAGCTTTAGTCTGTGGGGAGAGGAGGCCGTCTGGACCCTGGATGACCACACCAACACCCTGCTGCTCTACCACGCTGCTTCCTACCATCTCTGTGCCAAGTACTGGTGAGTAGACACTACTGCCATTGGGAAGTGTCATCATCAGGTGTAGGATTTGTGATAGTGAATGTTGAGTTTGATCAGTCTGTGACTAAAAGATATGGTAGGCATCGTTTTGTGCTAAAGATCCAGTGAAATTAACTGGACTAGCTATAAAAGTGTAATTTCCTGGAGGACAGTGAATCAGTACGCTCATTTGTAATTAATTAACCATTCCAAGCTTAAGTAAGAGGAAAGGGGAGCGGGACTTAGAAATGGTCAGTTCTGCCATGGCTTGAAAGTAGATGGCATCAGACAACTTGACATTGGCTACTTTTGATATATATATATATATAATACTAACACGATACCTATATCACTGCTCACGGCTTGACAGATATGAGCACTATTGAGCATACATATAGTGGGAGCCGATTGTAAAATGCGGTCCCCGAAAATATCCAAAGAATAATGGTTACCAGGTCTCACTTAATGATCATACCGAAAGTAGTTTATCCACCAGAGTGGCTCACGAATGACAACCTTCAGCTCCCAATCAGTACCATTCGCTGAGGCTGACTGTAAACCCAGCCGATTCTGTACACGTCAGCCCCACCAACTCTTTTTGTGGACAA